GGACTGAAATGGACTAGACTGGGCCGGACCGGACTGGACTGAACTGGACAGGACTGGACTGAACTCATTCAAACTAGTATTTGCGGCAGCAGCAGAAGTAGTAGTAGTAGTAGTATGGGTGGCACGGTGGCTGAGTGGTTAGCACTCTTGCTTCTCAGCAACAGAACAGGGCCTTTCTGAGTGGAGTTTGCATGTTCTCCTCGTGTCTGCGTAGGTTTCCTCCGGGTGCTCCGGTTTCCCCTACCACTAAAAACATGCACAATAGGTCTGAATGTAGATGACAGAGTGAATGGTGTTGGAGCTGATGGTCCAGTGTGTTCTGGACTCGCTTCTGTCATCACGTATGTGGAAGGATTGGAACAATATCTGACTCTGAACATTGTAAAGTGCTTTGGGTCTGTACCTTGGTCTGTGAAATGCGCTATATAAATAAACATTACGCTATATAAATAAACATTACTACCACTAAACTATAAACACCACTACTACTACTTACTACTAGTAGTAAGTAGTAGTAGTGGTGGATGTGTCCTGGCCTCACAGATGTGGGTTTATTTCGAGGCAGGACTCATTTTTCATGTGTTTTTATCGTTTAATTTGAGTCTGAACTAATTCTGTTAAACATGTTTTATTCGTTCATTTAATAAACAAAAGAATCCACAGAAGAGAAGGAGAGAAGCGGAAGAAAAGAGTGATGCTGAGGTCTGTGTCACGTTTCTTTGTTATGTAAATGTTGTAAATAGTTTGTTTTGGCAGGTTGGAACACCGCCCTCTAGTGGACACTTTGGGTATAAGTTTCGTTTTTCGGCAGACTCATCCAACAGCTCATGGTGCGGTCAGCTCATGGTGCGGTCAGCTCATGGTCAGCTCATGGTGCGGTCAGCTCATGGTACTGTCAGCTCATGGTGCGGTTAGCTCATGGTACTCTCAGCTCATGGTGCGGTCAGCTCATGGTGCGGTCAGCTTATGGTGCTGTCAGCTCATGGTGCGGTAAGTAAGTAAGTAAGTAAGTAAGTAAGTTTTTATTTATATACCGCCTTTTCACTGCAGATCTGAGTCTCAAAGCGGTTTACAATTGTTAATTTTGGGCATTTGTCTCTCACTCCACACAGAGATGGGAGCGGGGTCGCCAGTACAGGAGGCGCATGCCAGAACTATTGGACATATTTTTAGTGGTAGGGGAAACCGGAGTGCCCGGAGGAAACCTACGCAGACACGGGGAGAACATGCAAACTCCACTCAGAAAGGCCCTGGTCCGACCGGGATTCGAACCCAGGACCTTCTTGCTGAGAGGCGAGAGTGCTATCCACTCAGCCACCGTGCCGCGGTCAGCTCATGGTGCGGTCAGCTCATGGTGCGGTCAGCTCATGGTGCGGTCAGCTCATGGTCAGCTCATGGTGCGGTCAGCTCATGGTACGGTCAGCTCATGGTGCGGTTAGCTCATGGTACTCTCAGCTCATGGTGCGGTCAGCTCATGGTACTGTCAGCTCATGGTGCAGTCAACTCATGGTGCTGTCAGCTCATGGTGCGGTCAGCTCATGGTGCGGTCCGCTCATGGTATTGTCAGCTCATGGTGCGGTCAGCTCATGGTACTGTCAGCTCATGGTACTGTCAGCTCATGGTGCGGTCAGCTCATGGTGCGGTCCGCTCATGGTACTGTCAGCTCATGGTGCGGTCAGCTCATGGTACTGTCAGCACATGGTGCGGTCAGCTCATGGTACGGTCAACTCATGGTGCGGTCAGCTCATGGTGCAGTCAGCTCATGGTGCGGTCAGCTCATGGTACTGTCAGCTCATGGTGCGGTCAGCTCATGGTGCAGTCAGCTCATGGTGCGGTCAGCTCATGGTACTGTCAGCTCATGGTGCGGTCAGCTCATGGTGCAGTCAGCTCATGGTGCGGTCAGCTCATGGTGCGGTCAGCTCATGGTACTGTCAGCTCATGGTGCGGTCAGCTCATGGTGCAGTCAGCTCATGGTACGGTCAGCTCATGGTACGGTCAGCTCATGGTACTGTCAGCTCATGGTGCGGTCAGCTCATGGTGCAGTCAGCTCATGGTGCGGTCAGCTCATGGTACTGTCAGCTCATGGTGCGGTCAGCTCATGGTACTGTCAGCTCATGGTGCAGTCAGCTCATGGTGCGGTCAGCTCATGGTACTGTCAGCTCATGGTGCGGTCAGCTCATGGTGCAGTCAGCTCATGGTGCAGTCAGCTCATGGTACGGTCAGCTCATGGTACGGTCAGCTCATGGTGCTGTCAGCTCATGGTGCGGTCAGCTCATGGTACTGTCAGCTCATGGTCAGCTCATGGTGCGGTCAGCTCATGGTGCGGTCAGCTCATGGTACTGTCAGCTCATGGTACTGTCAGCTCATGGTACTGTCAGCTCATGGTCAGCTCATGGTGCGGTCAGCTCATGGTGCGGTCAGCTCATGGTACTGTCAGCTCATGGTACTGTCAGCTCATGGTACTGTCAGCTCATGGTACTGTCAGCTCAGGGTCAGCTCATGGTGCGGTCAGCTCATGGTGCGGTCAGCTCATGGTACTGTCAGCTCATGGTGCGGTCAGCTCATGGTGCGGTCAGCTCATGGTACTGTCAGCTCATGGTGCAGTCAGCTCATGGTGCGGTCAGCTCATGGTGCGGTCAGCTCATGGTGCAGTCAGCTCATGGTACGGTCAGCTCATGGTACGGTCAGCTCATGGTACTGTCAGCTCATGGTGCGGTCAGCTCATGGTGCAGTCAGCTCATGGTACGGTCAGCTCATGGTGCGGTCAGCTCATGGTGCAGTCAGCTCATGGTGCGGTCAGCTCATGGTACTGTCAGCTCATGGTGCGGTCAGCTCATGGTGCAGTCAGCTCATGGTGCGGTCAGCTCATGGTACTGTCAGCTCATGGTGCGGTCAGCTCATGGTGCAGTCAGCTCATGGTGCGGTCAGCTCATGGTGCGGTCAGCTCATGGTACTGTCAGCTCATGGTGCGGTCAGCTCATGGTGCAGTCAGCTCATGGTGCGGTCAGCTCATGGTACTGTCAGCTCATGGTGCGGTCAGCTCATGGTGCAGTCAGCTCATGGTGCGGTCAGCTCATGGTGCGGTCAGCTCATGGTACTGTCAGCTCATGGTGCGGTCAGCTCATGGTGCAGTCAGCTCATGGTACGGTCAGCTCATGGTACGGTCAGCTCATGGTACTGTCAGCTCATGGTGCGGTCAGCTCATGGTGCAGTCAGCTCATGGTGCGGTCAGCTCATGGTACTGTCAGCTCATGGTGCGGTCAGCTCATGGTACTGTCAGCTCATGGTGCAGTCAGCTCATGGTGCGGTCAGCTCATGGTACTGTCAGCTCATGGTGCGGTCAGTTCATGGTGCAGTCAGCTCATGGTACGGTCAGCTCATGGTACGGTCAGCTCATGGTGCTGTCAGCTCATGGTGCGGTCAGCTCATGGTACTGTCAGCTCATGGTCAGCTCATGGTGCGGTCAGCTCATGGTGCGGTCAGCTCATGGTACTGTCAGCTCATGGTACTGTCAGCTCATGGTACTGTCAGCTCATGGTCAGCTCATGGTGCGGTCAGCTCATGGTGCGGTCAGCTCATGGTGCGGTCAGCTCATGGTACTGTCAGCTCATGGTACTGTCAGCTCATGGTACTGTCAGCTCATGGTGCGGTCAGCTCAGGGTCAGCTCATGGTGCGGTCAGCTCATGGTGCGGTCAGCTCATGGTACTGTCAGCTCATGGTGCGGTCAGCTCATGGTGCGGTCAGCTCATGGTACTGTCAGCTCATGGTGCAGTCAGCTCATGGTGCGGTCAGCTCATGGTGCGGTCAGCTCATGGTGCAGTCAGCTCATGGTACGGTCAGCTCATGGTACGGTCAGCTCATGGTACTGTCAGCTCATGGTGCGGTCAGCTCATGGTGCAGTCAGCTCATGGTACGGTCAGCTCATGGTACTGTCAGCTCATGGTGCGGTCAGCTCATGGTGCAGTCAGCTCATGGTGCTGTCAGCTCATGGTGCGGTCAGCTCATGGTACTGTCAGCTCATGGTCAGCTCATGGTGCGGTCAGCTCATGGTGCGGTCAGCTCATGGTGCGGTCAGCTCATGGTACTGTCAGCTCATGGTACTGTCAGCTCATGGTACTGTCAGCTCATGGTCAGCTCATGGTGCGGTCAGCTCATGGTGCGGTCAGCTCATGGTGCGGTCAGCTCATGGTACTGTCAGCTCATGGTACTGTCAGCTCAGGGTCAGCTCATGGTGCGGTCAGCTCATGGTGCGGTCAGCTCATGGTACTGTCAGCTCATGGTGCGGTCAGCTCATGGTGCGGTCAGCTCATGGTACTGTCAGCTCATGGTGCAGTCAGCTCATGGTGCGGTCAGCTCATGGTGCGGTCAGCTCATGGTGCGGTCAGCTCATGGTACTGTCAGCTCATGGTATTGTCAGCTCATGGTGCGGTCAGCTCATGGTGCGGTCAGCTCATGGTACGGTCAGCTCATGGTGCAGTCAGCTCATGGTACTGTCAGCTCATGGTATTGTCAGCTCATGGTGCGGTCAGCTCATGGTACGGTCAGCTCATGGTGCAGTCAGCTCATGGTACTGTCAGCTCATGGTATTGTCAGCTCATGGTGCGGTCAGCTCATGGTGCGGTCAGCTCATGGTACGGTCAGCTCATGGTGCGGTCAGCTCATGGTACTGTCAGCTCATGGTGCAGTCAGCTCATGGTACTGTCAGCTCATGGTATTGTCAGCTCATGGTGCGGTCAGCTCATGGTGCGGTCAGCTCATGGTGCGGTCAGCTCATGGTACGGTCAGCTCATGGTGCGGTCAGCTCATGGTGCGGTCAGCTCATGGTACTGTCAGCTCATGGTATTGTCAGCTCATGGTGCGGTCAGCTCATGGTGCGGTCAGCTCATGGTGCGGTCAGCTCATGGTGCGGTCAGCTCATGGTACGGTCAGCTCATGGTGCGGTCAGCTCATGGTGCGGTCAGCTCATGGTACGGTCAGCTCATGGTGCGGTCAGCTCATGGTGCGGTCAGCTCATGGTGCGGTCCACTTCTTTCTAACTGCTGATTCTTCGTGTGTTAGCTCTGTTCTGTTTAAGCTAGGCTCTACTCCAAATCTAAATGGTAAAGTACAAAACAGTATTTGTTTGTCTCACATGTATTACTTGTCTAGGGCGACAGTGGCTCAGCATCGGCTTTTGGGCCTGAAGGTCGTAGGTTCGAATCCACCACAAGACCTACTTCATGACTCCCACTGATGTCTGCTGTTGTTGTGTCCTTGGGCAAGACACTTAACCCTACTCTGCCTGAAGCCCCAACTGAAAGATGTCAGCACCTGCAGCAGGATCAGTGAGGGGCTGGTGCTCTGACTGCCACCCCCGACCCAGGAATGGATTAAGGGGAAGAAGATGGATGAGTTTCATGATGTAGTGATTCATTTCTGACTATAAATCAGACATTATGTTTATATATTTCTTTGACAGTACATTGTTTGTATAATTTATAGATATATATTTCTGTGTATGTTGTTGCAGTTTTACAGTTTTCTAGAGTGGAGGAAAAACCAAGTATAACTGAGCAACGCTACATGGTCTTCAGGACTTGTTCAGTGTCTGTCCAGCCCTGGTACTGACACCAGTGAGGACAGAATATCACCTTCTGGTTTTTAAAGAGGATTTTTTTGCATCTGCAGCGACACTTTCTTTTCTTTAGATTTAAATTCTTTCTGGGATTAGACCAAAGCTGAAGAAGGCTCAGTTTTGTGGATGGATTATTCTGATGTCATCGTAATGAAGCTGTAAACGTTGATAATGAGAGCCACAGAGAGACGTGAACTGGGCTGAATGTGGCTCAGGCAGGTATGGTTCAGATATGGTTCAGGTATGGTTCAGATATGGTTCAGATATGGCTCAGATATGGCTCAGGTATGGTTCAGATATGGTTCAGATATGGCTCAGATATGGTTCAGGTATGGTTCAGATATGGTTCAGATATGGTTCAGATATGGTTCAGGTATGGCTCAGATATGGTTCAGGTATGGTTCAGATATGGTTCAGGTATGGTTCAGATATGGTTCAGGTATGGTTCAGATATGGTTCAGATATGGCTCAGATATGGCTCAGATATGGCTCAGATATGGCTCAGATATGGTTCAGATATGGTTCAGATATGGCTCAGATATGGCTCAGATATGGTTCAGATATGGTTCAGGTATGGTTCAGATATGGCTCAGATATGGCTCAGATATGGCTCAGGTATGGTTCAGATATGGCTCAGATATGGCTCAGATATGGCTCAGATATGGCTCAGATATGGCTCAGATATGGTTCAGATATGGTTCAGATATGGCTCAGATATGGCTCAGATATGGCTCAGATATGGTTCAGATATGGTTCAGGTATGGTTCAGATATGGCTCAGATATGGCTCAGATATGGCTCAGGTATGGTTCAGATATGGCTCAGATATGGCTCAGATATGGTTCAGGTATGGCTCAGATATGGCTCAGATATGGCTCAGATATGGCTCAGATATGGCTCAGATATGGCTCAGGTATGGTTCAGATATGGCTCAGATATGGCTCAGATATGGCTCAGATATGGCTCAGATATGGTTCAGGTATGGTTCAGGTATGGCTCAGATATGGCTCAGGTATGGCTCAGATATGGCTCAGATATGGCTCAGATATGGCTCAGATATGGCTCAGATATGGCTCAGGTATGGTTCAGATATGGCTCAGATATGGCTCAGATATGGCTCAGATATGGCTCAGATATGGTTCAGGTATGGTTCAGGTATGGCTCAGATATGGCTCAGATATGGTTCAGGTATGGCTCAGATATGGCTCAGATATGGCTCAGATATGGCTCAGATATGGTTCAGATATGGTTCAGATTTGGTTCAGATTTAGCTCAGATTTAGCCCAGACCTGGCCCAGACCTGGCCCAAACCTGGCCCAGACTTGGCCCAGACTTGGAGGCTGGTCGCTCTGAGACAGTTTCTTCCAAATGTGCTTCTGTCGTGACTCTGCTCTGACTCATAGTCTGTGAGAGAAGGAGCAACATCTTTACAAACACAAACAGACGACAGAAGTCTCTCTGGTCTCACTCTGGTTTCTCTATCTCTTCTCCCCCTTGTCTTTCTGGTCTTTCTCTGGTCTCCCTTCACTGTCTGGACTCTCTCTGGTCCCTCTCTAGTCTCTCTCTGGTCTCTCTGGTCTATCTCTGGTCTCTCTTTAGTCTCTCTCTGGTCTCTCTCTGGTCTCTCTCTGGTCTCTCTCTGGTCTCTCTCTGGTCTATCTCTGGTCTCTCTCTAGTCTCTCTCTGGTCTCTCTGGTCTCTCTCTGGTCTCTCTCTGGTCTCTCTGGTCTCTCTCTGGTCTCTCTCTGGTCTCTCTGGTCTCTCTCTGGTCTCTCTGGTCTCTCTCTGGTCTCTCTCTGGTCTCTCTCTGGTCTCTCTCTGGTCTCTCTCTGGTCTCTCTCTGGTCTCTCTCTGGTCTCTCTCTGGTCTCTCTGGTCTCTCTCTGGTCTCTCTGGTCTCTCTCTGGTCTCTCTCTGGTCTCTCTCTGGTCTCTCTGGTCTCTCTCTGGTCTCTCTCTGCTCTCTCTCTGGTCTGTCTCTGGTCTCTCTCTGGTCTCTCTCTGGTCTCTCTGGTCTCTCTCTGGTCTCTCTCTGCTCTCTCTCTGGTCTCTCTCTGGTCTCTCTCTGGTCTCTCTCTGGTCTCTAAGCAGGACACGTCGTCTTCATCTTTCTTTTCTCTCGTTGTGGTCTGGGCTTCGGTCCAACTGTGCGTCACATTAAGACTCAACGATCTGATAAATCCTCAATTAGCGACACAGAGATAAACACAAGTGTCAGAGTGTGTCTAGACCAGGCGCGGGTCTCTGGTCCAGGTCTCTGGTCCAGAACTGAGATCCGGGACTGAGGACCCGGGTTTGAACCAAAGACCTCCGTAGCAGATGGAGGCAGTGTCTCTCTCTTGTCTCTCTGGTCTCTCTTTCTATAGTCCCTTTATCTGGTCTGTCACTGGTTTGTGTCCTTTGTCTCTTTAGTCTCTCTCTGGTCTCTCTCTCTCTAGACTCTCTCTGGTCTCTCTCTGGTCTCTCTCTCTGGTCTCTCTCTGGTCTCTCTCTCTCTAGACTCTCTCTGGTCTCTCTCTGGTCTCTCTCTCTCTAGTCTCTCTCTGGTCTCTCTCTCTCTAGACTCTCTCTGGTCTCTCTCTGGTCTCTCTCTCTCTAGTCTCTCTCTGGTCTCTCTCTCTGGTCTCTCTCTGGTCTCTCTCTGGTCTCTCTCTCTCTAGTCTCTCTCTGGTCTCTCTCTCTGGTCTCTCTCTGGTCTCTCTCTCTCTGGTCTCTCTCTCTGGTCTCTCTCTGATCTCTCTAGTCTCTCTCTGGTCTCTCTCTGGTCTCTCTCTCTCTCTGGTCTCTCTCTCTGGTCTCTCTGATCTCTCTAGTTTCTCTCTGGTCTTCCTCTGGTCTCTCTTTCTCTGGACTCTCTCTGGTCGCTCTTGTCTCTCTCTGTCTTCTCTCTCTCTCTGAACTCTGGTATTTGTCTCTGCTCTCTCCATGGTCGGGTCTCCCTCCAGTCTCTCTCTGGTCTGGTCTCTCTCTGGTCTCTCTCTGGTCTCTCCCCGTTCTCTCCCTGGTCTCTCTCTGATCTCTCTGGTCTGGTCTCTCTCTGGTCTCTCTCTGATCTCTCCCCGTTCTCTCTCTGGTCTCTTGCTGGTCTCTCTCTGGTCTCTCTCTGGTAGATGGTGGCAGTGTTGTTTCATAGGGTTGCAGACTGGGACTAGTCTATAGTTAAGGTGTTGCTAAGACGGTTGCTAAGGCAGGCTGGAGTTTTGCAAATGAAGACATCTGATTGGTCAATACTGATATGGCTCTTATCTGGATTTAACACCAGGATCACAGAGAGCCAACAGTTACTGAGCTAGAGGAGTTCACTCTTCAATGTAAGTCAATAGGAGCTAAAGTGATTAGTGAGTTGGAGCAAAACTTCCCCATGAGCACTTCCCTATCTGGCTTCATCGAGCTAGCGTGTTAGCATAGCAGAATGTCCTGAATGTCCGGTTGTTCAAAGTAAACCGTTTGTTTGTTTGAACTTTACGTTTGCCTAAAACCTGAAACTCCTCAAGATCACGTCTAAGAGCCAGGGTGAGCTCGGATGTCAGCTCCTGCTCCTTCTCTCAGGTTTCTCGCTGTAACAACCAAACTCCCACACGTTTTCAGGTCTGTGTCTAAAAATACAGCAGTTATATTTGAGCCGAATGTGGAGCGCACACACACAGAAAGAGAGAGACACACATACACACACACAGAAAGAGAGAGTGACACACACACACACACAGAGACACACACACACACACACACACACACAGAGACACACACACACACATCACAGAAACAGAGAGTGACACACACAGAGACACACACACACACACACACAGAGACACACACAGAGACACACACGGAGACACACACACACATACACACACACACAGAGAGACACACACACAGAGACACATACACACACACACAGAGACATACACACACACACACACACAGAGAGACACACACAGAGACACACACACACACACACACAGAGACACACACACACAGAGATACACACACAGATACACACACAGAGACACACACAGACACACACACAGAGATACACACAGAGATACACACAGAGACACACACAGAGACACACACAGAGACACACACAGACACACACACAGAGATACACACACAGAGACACACACAGAGACACACACAGAGATACACACACAGAGACACACACAGAGACACACACACACACACAGAGACACACACAGAGATACACACACAGAGATACACACACAGAGACACACACAAAGACACACACAGACACACACACAGAGACACACACACAGAGACACACACACAGAGACACACATAGAGACACACACACAAAAGAGTTTGGAGAAAAACGAGGTCAGTTCCTGAGTCAAAAATAAATTCATGATTTTTTTATCGATACATTTATA